CCACATCAATAAATATTGAATGCGTCAAAAGGCGAGTTTCAACCATTCCCTTTTACTTGCCCGTCACCCGAACGTCCTTAACCAAGGCGCTTACAATAACATTTACGTCCACTCACTCCCTATCGCTCCTGTGCCTTAAACCGTGCTGTCGTAAATCTTAACTATACCTCAAAATAACTATGTGGATACAACAGTGGATGCACATTGAGAAATGGCCGCGACTGGTCAGCAAAACTAAGTGTTGATAGCTGACCAACAGTTGTTGGTCAGTGATATTACATGGATAGAACAGGTAGCAGAGAGCGACATTCTGTTCTGCTGGCAACACCCGTGAATACTTGTCATTAGTTAGTAAGATGGAAACCTGAGAAGCCTGAACTTGAGAATGAAATAAAAATCACAATGAATGAAATTAAACGAGAAAAATGTCCCCAAGAAACTGAATAACTGGTAAGCTCTCAGACTCGATGGAATAATTGAAGAAATGCTGAAATAAAAAAAAAATAATATTTAGTGGAATGTCTAAATTCTTAAATCATAATTGGAACACTTATGTGCTACCGGAAGAATGGAAATCTGAAGTTATAGCTAAATCAACATCCCTAAGAAAGGTGACTCAAGAGATTGAGGAAACTGGAAAGGCACAGCCCCGTCCGGGATTGTGTCTAAAGTTTTCCGTTTAATTCTCTTACACAGGATTCAGGATAGTATCGATGAAAATCTTCAGTACTCGACCTCGTTAATGATAACTTCCCCGGAAGATGGATTGGGCGTGATGAACCCGCCTCCTGGTCCCACGTGTAGGTATCTTCATACCACACCCTTAGATATTTTCTTGTGAGGGTATTCAAGAATTATATTTTCTAAAACCCAGTTGCTGACAATAAAACACTTAGATCAAGGACAACCAATTGCACCAACTTTTTGACAAAGGATATGTTGGCCAACAGTTGGATTAAAGTAGAATATCGCATGGTTGTGCTACGTGCAGCTAAAGGTGCATATATTTAGGTGCTTTGAAGAACAATAAATTTTATGTTTTATGTAAAAGATGAAATTAACCTCATTACTGGTTCTTTTTCGAGATTAAAATTACGTGAACTTAAGTATACGTTGATATTAAGCTAATACTCATATGTATCACTCCAAGAACTAACTTTGAGAATTTCTCAGGGAAGAGTGGGAGGTGGGTGGTGAGAGCGAGGCCACGGTGGGGCGTCCAGGAGGCAACCTTCAGCACTTGGCTTCCCGGGGGGCTGTAGGGCAGGTGTATGTACATGCTGCACCTACAGGAGGAATAGTGGATGCTAAGTATTCCTCTTTAATATATATATATATATATATATATATATATATATATATATATATATATATATATATATATATATATATATATATATATATATATATATATATATATATATATATATATATATATATATATATATATATATATATATATATATATATATATATATATATATAACAAAGAAGTATTTGTGTTTGCGTGTCCGCACGAGAATCTCGGAACCTACCTTAACGACCTGTAGTGATGATGGATGGTGTTATATGTAGTGATGATGAATGATGTTATATGTAGTGATGATGGATGATGTTTATGTAGTGATGATGGATGTTGTTATATGTAGTGATGATGGATGGTGTTATATGTAGTGATGATGGATGTTGTTATATGTAGTGATGATGGATGGTGTTATATGTAGTGATGATGGATGATGTTATATGGAGTGATGTTGGGTGGTGTTATATGTAGTGATGATTAGACAATAAAATAATAACAGTTTTTATGCAAAAAAATCTACTTTGCTGTAACGTTGTAGTGAAAAACATGGTGGAACCTACATACACCGTGAATGAACTATTGATGGAAGAAGAAGTTTTGGGGACTGAACAATGAGACAATGTGGAGCCTCCTGGAGGGTGGCGTCCTACCGTGGCCTAGCGTATGAGCCGCCCGTCTGTTTTTGGGTGGGTTTGTTTGTTTGCGTGTTCGCACGAGAATCTCGGAAACTACTTTACCGATCTGTAGTGATGATGGAAGGTGTTATATGTAGTGATGTTGGATGGTGTTATATGTAGTGATGATGGATGATGTTATATGTAGTGATGATGGGTGGTGTTATATGTAGTGATGATGGATGATGTTATATTTAGTGATGATAGGTGTTGTTATGTGTAGTGATGATGGATGTTGTTACATGTAGTGATGATGGATGGTGTTATATGTAGTGATGATGGTTGATGTTATATGTAGTGATGATGGGTGGTGTTATATGTAGTGATGATTAGTCAATAAAATAATAATAGTTTAATGTTAAAAAAATATACTTGGCTGTACCGTTGTAGTGAAAAAGATGGTGGAACTTGCATACACCGTTAATGAACTATTGATGGAAGAAGTTTTGGGGACTGAACAGTGAGTCATGTGGAACCTCCCGGAGGGTGGTGTCCTACTGTTTCCTAGCAGATGAACCGCCCGGAGGGTTGCGATTCTGCTAGTATGTATATATATATATATATATATATATATATATATATATATATATATATATATATATATATATATATATATATATATAATCACAGATACAGCTCACAAGTTCAGTCATATGAATTGTTTTACTTGATGTTCGCTGAGTTATCGTTGATAATGGCCAACACGGCATTCATCTTGGAAAATGCCCTCTGTAGGTCGTGGAGCTCCCGGAGGGGCAGGCGGGTGACGGCGAGGAGCCTCGTCGACCACACTATGAGGCCGCTCTTTAGGGACCATCCGGCGAAGGCGGTGAGGAAGGCTGGGTCGTCGCTGATGACCACAATTGTCGTGTGTGATGACAGTTCCCGCAGCTGTCAACATTTGAAATGGTAATATCTAAGTTAATATCTGTGACTCAGGCGCGGTATGAGACTGGATGATTCCTCTTGCACCACTATAAGAGTTTTTGACTTCATCACCAATGGAAGGGTGACTTAATTCAGCACCATTGCAAAAGTAATTAACTTAAGCACCATTGCAAAAGTAACTAACTTAAGCACCATTACAAAAGTAAATAACTTAAGCATCCTTGCAAAAGTAAATAACTTAAGCATCCTCCACTGAGCAACGCTCTTGTGCATTATGCAGAAGACCCGACAGCAGCACCCTTATCCACTATCTCCTAAGATGTCCCCACACACAACGCTTCCGTGACGCCTGCTGGACCACCACTCCACGACCCCCTGACGGAGACACGATGATCCTCCCCATACTGGCCAGATATTTTGTAAATAACATTGATTATGTGTTAAAGGAATATCCTTCCTTCCTTAGGCTTTAGTAAGCCCCTTTATAATATTTATACTGTATATACTTGTTACACTTGCCAGATGCTTCTGGTGTCATTGTACAGGGGTACCTAGTGACAGCACTAGGATCCCGCTTCCTCTATCAAGGAATAAACAATTTAAATTTAAATTGAAATTAAGCATACTTGCATAAGTAAATAACTTAGGCATCCTTGTAAAAGTAACTAACTTAAACACCACTGTAAGATTAACTAACTTTAGCAGCAGATTAAGAGTAACTAACGCACCTAATCCGTAGCCTAAGGGTAACCTACACCTCCTAGTCATACATGAAAGACATATTAATTACAGCAGTAGTACAGAACAGATCTTACGTGCTTCATTACATTAATCAGGTGAGAAAGCTGAATTTCCATACTAGAGGCATCCTCGTCGTTCGTTGTTACCTCAAAGGTCCCAACACCTCCGGGAATCCGTAGACAATCTGCCAACTGTGAGAATACAAAATGGGGTAGAATTTACGGCTAATAAATTATATAAATAAGTGAATATAAACTCTTAAGATATTCAAAGACTAAGATTAGTGAAGAAAGTTAACCGTAACTTCCACTCATAAAAAAATTTGTTGTGTTCCCGAGAAAATGATAATACTAAATGTACAGTAATAATGTCACTGGCTCATAAAATCACTAATGAGGGGTAGTTAAACAAGCATAGTAATTTTGTTATAACTAAACTTGATATTAATGATTACCAAAAAAATACCAATGAGAAGTTGTACAAAAGTTAAGGAAAACACTGTACTGCTGAGAAAATTAATAAGAACACAGTGATGGCCTTCAAACTGAGTAACGCACGTAACAGTAAGATCACACAGGCCAGGACGGTGTCGTGTCCTAATGTAATAATCGGTGGGAAAGTACACAGGTAGGACACATATTAGTTTAGGAGGGAGATAGGAAGAAACTGGTTCACAAATAGGGTGGTGGACGAGTGGAACAAGCTTAGCAACTTTGTAGTAAGTGCTGGAACTCTGGAAAGTTTCAAAAGGAGGCTAGATAGATTCATGGATGATAGAGAGTGGTAGTAACTCTCGACAGGAGCTGCCATGCACAGGCCAACCGGCCTATTGCAGACTCCTTATTTTCTTATGTTCTTATGTTCTTATGTACATTAAGTCGTATTGAAAGCTGGAACGTTTGTAGATCTAAGTGAAATATATATATATGTATATATATATATATATATATATATATATATATATATATATATATATATATATATATATATATATATATATATATATATATATATATATATATATATATATATATATATATATATATATATATATATATATATATATATATATATGTACAGATATAATGCATAATTATGTTATTACTAAGCTACCAACCTTGTAGACAGTGGAGGGGGAGGTGCTGCCGTCCGTGAGGAGAAAGACTGAGTAATCGGAATATGTCACTCTCGTCAACACTGCTTCCATCATCTCGAATACTGATGATTCAAAACGTTGTTTACCTGCCAAAACACAAGGTTTATAACCTAAATAGATATGTAGAGTCCGCTTCACCTGTTCATTAACAGGGGCTCGTCAAGTTTGTGCAGTGTGAGAGGCAGCGCTGTGTTTGTTTTCATTCAACAGAAGGAAACTCGTAATAGTATACATACTATGAAATCAAAGGAAAACGCCACTGTTAATTCACAACTTTATTTAATAACATAATATTTAATGTTGATATTTGACGTATCTTTAATAAGTAGAGGGAGATAATATTGTAAAGGTGTGAAAAGGGTAGTGTGAGATAATAATTAACGGTTTATTGTAAAAGTTCTGCAGCCTGAAAGCTGAAAATATACATTGAACATATATGACTTATTACATATGTATAATATGGACACGAAGTAGTACCTTAAGCTGTGTATTCTTATATTACTCTATTAATTATGTATTACAGAACATGTATTAATCCTATGTAATATTTCCATTTATTATGCACCATGTTATGTATGTGAATTATCATATTTACATATTATGTATTCAGCTTGTGAATGCTGGCATCTGTACATGCCAGCGCGGAGTGATACAGAGAGTTGAGATCGCTAGTCCTTATGGTGTGGAAGCCCACGTCTATTTGTTTCCTCTGTATATCTCCCATACGAGAATAAGAACCTATTTTCAAGATAACAAGTGTTTGTGTATACCCTCAGTAGTGTAGAACATTTTGGGGGTATCAAAGACAAACATAGATGGCGCAGTGAGATTTCTCAGTGAGATTCAGAGTGAACTTAGCCTTCCCGCCGGACTGTGTTAATGGCGTCTCGTCTTCAGCTTCACCAAGGATTTACAGCCAGACTACAAGCCTCAGGACTTACAGTGTTGTGAAGTGCTATGCTGTGTACAGTGCTGTGCTGTGAAGTGAAGTGTTCTGTGAAGTGCTGTGTTGTGTATTTTAATCAGAATTGTCTGTGCAAACTGCAGTCAGATGACTGAGGGAGCTGCCCAGCAGTACAACCCCTCTCGCCTACGGTCATTGGGTAACTGAGCAGCGTGCATTAAGACCACTTCCGTTCAGTTGTGACTTGCGCCCAGCTGCCTCTACGTCTGGCAGCGCGCCAAGCCTCCCGGCAATGAGCCATACACACACACACGCACTCACAGGCCCACTTTATATTAAATTCTTGCTTATTACTTTAGACTTCTGTAATTCTGTGCATAGATTACGAGGGGTTGACCCGGTCTCTTGCACAGATATAGTACAGAAGCTGTCGGCATGTCTCACAGGGATCAAAATGATACCCTGGACGATGGGGTTATGAGTTTAAGTTTGGGAGACCTCTCCCCACCCACACTCAGGCCCCACGCTCCCCACAGTGACAACGCCCAATCACCCACAGAATCTCCTCATTCGTCGCGGGCAAGCTCTCCTGCGGTGCCTGCGTCCACAGATCTCCTTCAACTGATTAAGTGGATGGAAACTTCTCGACGCCAGGACTATGTTGCAAAGAGAGAAGGGGAAGGAATTCGGTACAGAGAGTCTGAAAGACGATGCCACGAAGATGAACAAAGACGCAGAGAACTAGAAGATATACGTAGAAGTGAGGATGACCTGAGAAGAAGAGAGGATCAAGCCAGATTTGAAGCCTTGATTTCCCTGTTAGCCTCCCCACAACGATCTACTCTACAAAATTCTTCTGCTACTACTAATGCTGATACGACTAGAGGTATGGGTGCCTCATTTCCCAGAGTCGGTTCAATAATTCCTCAAAAGGCTGCAGCACAAACGCCTCCCTCTCTGAAGTCTGACGCTTCTTATCAGATATTTCGGGAATGGCGTCGACGTTGGCAAGACTATGCAACAATGGTTGACCTGTCAAGTTTACCACAGCCTAAACAGATGATACAGCTTCGTATGTGCTTGTCCTTAGAGACACAACGTACTCTCGAGCACACACTTCAAGTGCCTCCTACGACAACTCTGACTGTAGAGGCCGTGCTTGACAAGTTACAGGAGCATGTTAAGGGACAGCGCAACGAAGCACTTAGAAGAAGAGAACTCCTCCAATGTAAGCAGCTTGATGGAAAATCTTTTGATGCATTTTTTGTAAGACTGAAAAGATGTTCAGAGGAAGTTGATGTTTGTCTTGGAAATTCTCAAGTTTGTGAAGAGACACAACTCAAGACAATCATTTTAACGGGTATTCGAGATGAAGAGCTAGTTCAGCGTCTCATTTCACTTGACCCCACTTCCTCCCTTCAAGATGTTGTTACAATATGTCGAGCGTACGAGGCCGCCAGGTGTGCGACTTCAGCTTTACGCTCCCAACCTGACCAGGTGAGGGCGGTGTCTTCATACAGAAAGGGTAAGAAGCAGCAAGGTAACCCCACCCCTCACCCTCCAGCTACACCTTCAGCAGCAGCTTTGTGTAACAGCTGCGCGAGACAGCATGATGCCTCCCAGTGCCCAGCTGCTCAAAGCGTGGGCAGAAGTTGCGACCGCCAGGATCACTGGGCTTACACAGTCAAGTGCCCTGCTAGCAAAGTTCAGTGCAGACTTTGTGGTCGTGTGGGCCATTATGACAAATGTTGTCGTAAGAAGACACAGAAAGGACGCCACCAAGGATCCAAGAAGTCATCCTCAGGTAGCGCTGGCACGCCCCCTCCTCCTGGTAAGCATCAAGGCGCTGTGTCCAGTCGTTCCTGCCGTCGTGTACATTGTTCCACAGACACGACGCCCCAGCACATCAGTGTCGTCATTTCTCACGGTAACTTGTCATCCAGTCTTCAGATGTTACCTGACACCGGTGCTGACGTCTCAGTAATCGGTCCACAACACTTAGTAAGTTTGGGAATACCCCGGAGCAACCTACAGCCCCCTCCTCAGACAACGAAACTGACAGCTGATGGTTCCAAGATGGCTCCAGCTTTGGGATCTTTCTGGGCTACTCTTACCTTTGGTAAGCAGTCTTGCTCAGCCCGGATTGATGTTCATGATGGGATCCCGACTCCGCTTTTATCATATGGCCATTGTCAAGAGTTGGCCATTATTTCCAAGGAATTCCCCAAACCTATTTTAAAGGTCACCCATGTCAACAGGTTGAAGGAACTCCCTATCTCTATTAACACGTCCCCTTCTGATGCAAGAGCTTACCTTCTCAAGGAGTTTGCTGATGTGTTGGTTACGAAGAAATCTTTAGGATCCACACCACTCAAGCCGATGGTGGGTCCACCTATGAAGATTCATCTTAAGGATGGTGCCACACCTTTTGCCATCCACACTCCTCGTTTGATTCCTCACGCCTACAAGGAGCTAGTTAGACAAGAGCTTGACTCCATGGCTGCTCAGGAAATCATCAAGCCGGCAGGAGACGAACCTTCACCTTGGTGCCACCCTCTCGTCCCTGTCGCCAAACCTCGTGGTGGAATACGGATCACCACGTATCTATCAAAACTTAACCAGCAAGTTTCCCGTCCAGCCCACCCTTCACCCACACCCTTCGCAGCTGTTCGAAATGTGGACCCGAAGGCGAAATTTTTTACAACGATGGACGCCTTATGTGGTTATTGGCAGATCGAGTTGGCCAAAGAAGACCAGCATTTGGCTACATTCATCACACCATATCGAAGATATCAGTATTGCAGAGGCCCCATGGGATTTGCCGCTACGGGTGATGCATTCTGTCAACGTGGAGACGGGGCCCTTCAAGGAGTCACGAATTATGTCAAGGTGGTTGATGATATTTTACTCCATGACGAAGACTACTGTGCCCACCTCTCCCGAATATATGAAGTTCTCACCAGATGTCGAAAGTACGGGATTACCCTCAACGCTGACAAGTTTGTAGTCGCCGCACCATCAGTGAACTTCTGTGGGCACACTCTCTCAGCATCAGGTATCGCAGCTGACCCGGAGAAATTAAGTGGAATCAGGGATTTTCCAACCCCTGCCAACCTGACAGACCTCCGTTCTCTTTTGGTTCTGGTCAATCAGCTGGCTGAATTCTCACCTGACATCTCCGCCACAGCCCAGCCGTTACGCCCCCTGCTGAGCCCCAGGAGGACATTCCTGTTTACCCCAGATCATCAAGAGGCCTTCCAGCGAGTCAAGCAGGCCCTCTTAAGTCCACCTGTCCTCGCCTGTTACGACCCAGCCCTACCCACCGTCCTCCAGACTGACGCCTCCAGACTCTACGGCGTTGGTTACGCCCTTCTGCAGGACCATGGCGGTGGACAACTCCGCTTAATTCAATGTGGATCCCGGTTCCTGACGGACGCCGAGACCCGATATGCCACGATTGAGCTGGAGATGTTGGCTGTTGTCTGGGCGATGGCGAAGTGCCGCTTCTACCTGATAGGACTTCAGCACTTCACCCTCTTCACGGATCATCGCTCTCTTGTACCTATTATCAATCACTACTCTTTGGATGCAGTAGAGAATCCTCGCCTTCAACGTTTGAAAGAGAAGCTCTCGCCTTATCTCTTCACGGCTGTGTGGCGTGCGGGTAAGCTGCTGTGCATCCTGGATGCCCTGTCCCATGCCCCTGTCAGTCGCCCCACCCCAGAGGACGAGATGTTGTGTTCTACAGCTGCCGCATCCCTCAAGTCAGTAGTCTCATTGAAGGCCGTCTTCACATCAAAAGAGTCTACGTCACCGGATGCAGACAAGACCCTTGAAGATCTCCGCACCGCAGCCCGGGCCGACCCTTCCTACATCCGGCTCGTCGACTGTGTGTCCCAGGGATTTCCATCTAACCGATACGACCTTCATGAATCGCTACTCCCGTACTGGAAGATACGCGAGGACCTCTATTGTGACGGAGACCTCGTCTTGTATGGTCCACGAGTAGTCATTCCTGCTGCCCTAAGCCGCCGTACCTTGACCCGCCTTCACGACAGCCATCGAGGAGTGGAGGCCACCAAGCGACGGGCGAAGCAGACTGTAATTTGGCCCGGAATCGACGCGGACATTGCAAGTACCGTCCGTGCCTGTGAGCCGTGCCAGATTCTGCAACCCAGCCAG